ATACGCAGTATTACCATGCAACGTCTTCTCTTTCGACGGAAGAATCTTCAAACAAAGAATGGTATTGGCTAGGGGATATCGGATCGCACCGTTACTTGCAATAATATTCCTGGATCATATCGAAAAAGCTACGTTAACATCAGACATAAGATATGAGATACAAGAGATATACAAGAGACACAAGAGATATGTAGATGATATCTTCGTCGTCGGTAATACTGAAGAAAGCGTTAGAACAATGTTCGAAAGATTGAATACGGTTGGCAAAGATATTTCATTCACTATTGAAATACCTGCGAAGAATGGATTCTTACCATTCTTAAACACCAAGGTTAAAATCAATGAGTAAGGTCGAATATTTCTGGTACAGGAAACCTTCGTCATGTAACATCATATTACATTCACGTAGTGCCCATCCACAATACATGAAAGCCAATGTGATCCGAAATTTACAAACGAAGGAAAAACTATGCTCATCTCCAAAAAGTCAAATAGACTCTATCGTTAACACCATCCTCGACGAAAATGGGTACCGGTCAATGTGGCCCAAAGCATGGAGGCCCTATAGACCTCCGGACGGAATCACACTAACATTGCCTTATGTAAGAGAAAAATCGCTGAACAAAATCGTCAAGGGGTCGGGACTCCCTGTAAGGCTCGCGTTTTCACCACCTCCTACTCTGAAGGAGATGCTCACGAGTACACGAATTTGTGAAAGAAAATGCGATGGATGCCAATACTGTGAAGAACAGAAAATTTGTTCTTTATGCGGAACAGTCTATATGATTGAATGCCAAGGATGCGGCGAAAAGTATATAGGAGAGAGCGGAAGACCTTTGAAGTTGAGATTAGATGAGCACAAAAGAGCGTTAATCAATCCTGCCTCCTATCCGAAAGAAAGTTTTTCAAGGCATCGGACGCTCAAACATGCAATGCAGAAAGCACCGCCTTTGAGAGTGACTGTTCTACATCGGAACTTGGAAAATACCTTAGAAAGGAAAACTAGGGAGGTTTACGAAATATGTAAGCATAGCCCACAAATAAACAGTAAAGAAGAAATGAAAGATGTGTTGATGCTAATTACTTGAGTGCAAGCGAATGGAGTTCATTCTTTACTGACTTACCAAAGGAGGCCACTGTTACTGTATACTATCCGCAATCTCACCCCTTCCTATCTCCCATCTAAGAAGAAGACGAAGGTACACGCGCCGTTTGTCCATAATTTTTATATATCATTTATATATTGTAATTCAAGGCCTGATGACGATTTTAAAAATCGAAACGTTGCTGTGCCAATAAACTACTGATTAAGAGCTCTCCTCAGTACTTGCACAAGAATCCAGCATGAAGCTCAGGGATAACACTATACTAAAATAACTGGCACTTATTGTTAGAGTGTCATGAAAATGCCACAATGAAATGCCTCATAATAGTTCTCAAAAGCTACCCTTCAAGCTTTTCTGGCTACCGTTTCTTGTCCTACAAGTCGAATGGGATATTTTTAACGCGGCAGTGAATCATGAACTTTGTTCTTTTTTGCAATTTTACGCGCACCTTAGGTGTCGTTCAAATATCAAAATAATCAAATCTTCCTGGCATTTTAAGAGCTGCACAGCAAGACCGTAATTAAATTCTCCTCTTTTCGACGGGTTAACTCGTCATGCAGTGTATTCGAACTATGGTGATTACAAGTTTGCTTACTTTGGAGGTTCATCCTCAAGCCCAAACTTTCTGCCAGGACCAGACCTATTGCAGTGAAATATTTATGTGGTATTATATACGAAGACATGAAGATGCATGGATAAAAGCAATTTTTGGTAAGCTTTTTCCACAGATATATCATAAATTGCAAGAATGTATTATTTTTTCAGTCTTCTAGCGATTTTTACCAAAAAGTCGTAAAGGACCAAGCCAATTTTTTACACTGGGAGAATTATTGGTTTTAGAGCTTTCCTAACTTGCAAGAAACACCGTTTCGATAAACTGACAAAATTCATCCGATTGAACGTTATCTCAAAACTGCGTAAAATTGGAAACATAGGGAAAAGTTTCAGAGAAAAATGATGTCCCTAAGAGGCAAAATCTCGGATTCTATGAGCAATGTGCATGTTGTGTGCGTTTGCACGTCTTGGATACACACGCAATGAGACTATAGGCACACGGAATAAAGTGCACTTCTTTTGTAGCAGAAATTCCATAATTTTTGAGATTGGAAGGTTAATGAGTTTACCTCTGAGGATAAAAGAAATGACATGTTTAAAAAGTCCATAGATATTACAAAAGCGCATGCCAAATGATTGTTGGAGCAATAGATTTAATTTTTTTCAAAAGACTTTCGAAAGAAAGCATGACCTAAAAGTCTAGAGAAAATGACAAAGACACATAAGACACTCCCAAGGCACTAAGAGTTTCCTAATTTAGCCTGACATCAAAGACCGACGCAGAAAAGTAGCAAATGATGTTCGTCACAGAGACTCCTGGGGAAATCTACACAAAATCCACGCTCAAGCGATGCGATTCGTGAAGCTAACGAGCTACGTCGTGCTTATGGAATTGGCAGTGACTAGCTACATCATTTGATCGTTGGTTGATTAGCACCAGGCGTTCTTCTGAAAAAAAAAATAAAGCAAAGACCAAGTACGCAGATTTTGTCAGAATAAATGCAACGCTCGAAAAATCTGGAAGAGATAAACTTCAGTGTTTAACTTTTTTCTTTGTGACGTGTCACCCACGAACCATTTGATAATGAATCCAGTGGTTTCAGACAAGTCAAAGAACTGAACATGAAGCATGACCCGCTTTTCTATCAGCATAGTACCACTGTAAGTTGGATTTAGCAGAAAAAATCACTGTCAATTACAGTCCAACAGTATTCCTTGCTAAGGTGTGCAATTGCACAATTTCAAGGCTACTATCGACAGCAGATTAGGCATTGTTCTCATCTGATCTCTCAAAGGTAAGGATACTAGATCGCAGCGGCAGACCGAAATTGATATGCATATCTTCAGATGCGTCTGATGAGCTAATTTCAAACGTAACTTCCTTATCTGCTAAGCTCTTCTCAAAAAGAAAGTTATGAGGGTTTGGATGTGCAAACATTGACTGCCACATCTTCCGCAACTACTTGTTTGAAAACTCATTTATGTGTTCGGTGTATGCACCCCTTGTAGCAATGCACACAAAACCATGCCAATTAGTCACTCCCAAGCTTCTTCCTAAACCACACTACGCAAAAACCGTCTTCTCCTAGAGAAGCGCTTAACAGATAAGAAAGGTAGACCCGGAATCAGCTCATCAAGACGCATCTGATAATATGCATGTCATTTCGGTTCGCTACTGCGATCTGGTATCCTTCCCTTGTTATTAGGAGATATACATTTGCATAAATCAGTCAAGAAACTTACGGCTCCTTTTCGGGACCAAGAAACCCGAAGACGCTGTCCACTTCCGACTAACAAGATAGTACCTGTACCTTCCGGAAGATCTTGTGCAACGTGGGTGCGTAGTATACTTTGGAATATCCGAAATTTTTTTTCGAATAATCGAATAGTCGAATATATTCGAAAATCAAAATTTCGAACAAAATTTCGAATATTTTCGAAATTAAAAAATGTTAAATAATCGGATATCGAATAACTTTGAAAAGAAAATTTTGGAATATTCGCACATATTCGAGAAAAAATTCCGAATAAACGAATACTTTGTACAATCTATGTCGAATATTCAAAATCTTAGTCGAATAGTACAAGGCTCCCAATAGTGTACAACTTAAAGGACAAGCAAGCTATTACATTCAAAATTTGAGCGTATACTGAACTGATGACAGATCCGGTTCTGCTCGGTCTACGTCCTCGTAAGACTATGGAAGTCAACAATCTAACCCACTCTGAATACCGGTCTCATGCCTCCACTCTTAAAAGCGCAAATCAGTAAAAACGAGGTGCTCATTCACAGCTGCTTTCAATGCCTACCTTCGATCAGTGCAAAAACATCAAAGCACAGTTGCCAATGTAATCAGTATTCCTATCTTTTCTAATACCGCATTTCCTCAGCAGCATGCTCACTTAAAGGCAGTGTCTCGGCAAAATTTCGGTCCCCGGTCTTTCACCTCTTCGGAGCCATCTCGACATGCTGAAGCCATATCTGAGCCTTTCAGAGGTTGAAAATGGCAAAATTGCGCTTAACTATAGCTTTGAACCTTAGCTTCAGATTCGAGTCCAAACAGTATTGTCTCTTTTCTGAACATTTATATACTTGGACCTCCTTTCAGCACTCGAAAAGGAGTTCTCCAAATGTGAAAGAAAGACGGATTCAAGCGTTCAAAACTCAATGGAAAACTCGCGTACTTTGAATTCCCTTACTGAGTAGTTCCTTCATAAAGATTCACTCCAATAAACCAATAAAATCCCTGAAAGGAACATCACATATTGAAAGCCACTAGAGCATATAGTTACGATTACACGAGAATGTAGAATGGTCGGCTAATCGAATAAATTCAAAAATGACAATTTTCGAATAGGTGAATATCGATATTCAAGATTTCAAATTTTTCGAATAATCGAATTTTGAATAAATTTTATTCGAATACTTTATTCAAATACTCGAATATTTATTCGATTTAGTCCAAAGTATAGTGCGTAGTTTATCTCGTAGTCCCAAAATGAAAATTGCCATCTCATATTATCTATGGCTTTTTTACAAGTCGTCTGTTCCGGGGTGATCAATATGCTCAAGAAAAATTTCTTTGTTATTTTAGAGCTAAATTTCAGATATTTATTCCAACAGTAGATCTAAACAGAATGACATAATCAAGAAAGGACCAGCTGCTGTTTTGCAGCCGAGAAGCTGAGACGAGCGCTGGCGCAATAAAAACAAGATGGGCATTTTCTTTTCTATGCAAATGGAATCTCATTAACTCGCATAAGAATCCTTTCATTTCGTTTCACTAAAACGCTGCTCACATCCAATAATTTTCCAGATTTTTATGACCGACACAACACAATATCTGATATTTATTAATGCACAGAAGGCGATGTTACAATCGTTGATTGCAAGGCTATCATCACAATAACATATAAATAGGCGAGTAAAAACGAACTAGAGCAGATTGTACGGACACGAATCCGTTTGGGAATATGGGGGAAAGGGGAAGTTGGCGTTTCGCCAGGTGTACGATACATGGGGAGACGGATGATTTTCAGTGGTGATTTACAAGTTAATGCTAGGCACGCTTTGCGACTCTAGAAACACCGCGCCATATAATCACAATTTTGCATTTTTTACCAATTACGATACCGATATTTTTTGTATGTGGGATCGTTATTCTGCACAGCACACGATGAATGTTACAAGACCAGTTTTCACAATAGGATATCAAGCGGGAAACGATCACGTATGATATGCCAAAGTGGGGGACAAAAGCAGCGTGCTCTTCGCTGTTCTTTGAAAAAACGCTGCTGCGGGTCAGATGTACAAGTGATAAGGGCAAGCAATGAGCATTCTAACCTAGACATACTTCTAAAGAAATTTGAAAAAAAAGACCGGCATATAAAGCAAGAGCAGCTAAAACAGAGAATACATACAAAAAAAAGCGAAAGAAGAAACACGTTTGAGTTCTAGGAAAAAATTCTATCGTTCTAAGAAAAAAAAGTGATGTGTGATAGGAGAGAAAACACGAAATGACTTGGTGGATTGAAAAAATTGAATGACAAGATGAAAGGGAAGAATGAGACAGATATATACGGGGATAGAACTCTCATAGCATAATCTGCTGCGGTGAATTAAAGACGCGTGAAGACCCGAAACTACCGTAATTCGAACCTCAAGTATAAAAATAATGTACGACAGATGTGTGAATTGGATATAATGGCTAGAAGAACAACACATACACACACATTTCACATGCAGGAATCACAACTGAAAACGACACGCGTACCTAAGCCAGTTTTTTCTTAGCAGGAGTACGTGACTTTGAGTGATGATGTGAAAAAGAAAATAGACTAAGAGATGACTGCAAAATACACGGGGTATAGAGAAAGCTGAGCTCAAAACAACATGTATACGGCGAAAGCGCGAGGAAGACGACACGAGATGGGACGGAAGAAGTTCGGAGAAAATGCATACCCGTCTGGCGATTGAACACATCCTATTGGCACCGGGTGTGTGTATACATACTATAGGGTGAATTGCGTGGAAAAAAGAAATCTCCTCGGCTTGAAAATGATACTAATGATGACTATAAAGAATGTTAATGCTAATGCGGAGGGGGAGCTGAGAAGTTATCTCGAGAACGATTCATTTGAACATTGTTTTCGAGAGGGACCAAATTAGCCTGAGAAGATCCGGGGCCAGTGGTCGTTGATGAGCCAGACGCTGTCGTCGATGAAGCTGAGGAACCGTGGATGGCCAGCAGTTGAGCTGCTAACGATGCAGAATCAGTTCGCCGTGGCGATGGCCTCTGAAAACAATGGATAAGTTTCGTTTCAAAACCGTGTTTGTAGACGGTCTAATCAAAGGCAAATAAATCTTTCCACGTAAAATCCCCATAGGTCCAGACAAATCTGGACCTATGGGGATTTTACGTGGAAAGTAATTTTGGGGCCCTGCTAAGGCACGGCCCAAGCGGCAACGCAAATGACTCACTAACGGCTGAGATATACGCGTCCAAACTGGACCCTAGGATCGCATTATCGGACGACTTGTGGTTTGCACCTTTCGCGCGGACCCACGCGAGACTGATGTGTCGCGCCATGAATCCATGCGAAATACGGTCCTGGGGTCCAGTTTGGAGGCGAATATCTCAGCCGTTAGAACACCATCTGAGCTGCCCGTTGGCAGCGTCCGTCTTAGTTAGGGTCCCAAAATTACTGTCCACGTGAGATCCCCATATGCCCAGATTCGCCTGAACACTGCCTTTAAGGTTAGTAGTTTCAAGGGTAGTAAGAGGGCCTTGTGTGGCAGAAGGGCCTCTGACTAGATAATTGTCCAAGTACCGCTGCCAAAGCTGAATTCAGCAAGAAAATCACTCCACGGTGAATGCGACAGAAAGGGAGACCCCTCGCCGTGAGCTAGAAGGTACTGAACCAATCAAGCTCTGGGCGGTGCTGCCTCTAGCGCATTTTGAAGCAACTTTCTCGCTTCACAATATGCTGCTTGCAGAAAGACTTGGGCAGTATCGGCCCTGCTACTGTATCACATAAAACCTCAGCAACCCTAACTTCAGGTTCGGCTAGATTATATACCATCAAAATCTCATCACCCTCAATATGAATGGACGATTGCTTTGATCAAAGGAGCATCAGAGGATGCGGGTGCACAATCCGAAGGACTTATTTTTGTGCAAACACACAGAAAGCCAATCATCTTGCATATAAACCTTGAAAAATCTAATTGCCCGCGCCGCGCCTTGAATACAACCGTAGGGGAGCGCTTGTCGCGAGGCACTACAGGCAATAAATCTTCCGACCAACATCCATGTTGTTTTCAGCAAAACACAGTGTGTTTTAACCAAAAGCATCAGAAGCTTGTAAAAATGAGAAAGGAGGTGCGTTATCACATGCGAATAGCCTATATCGCATCGGGACCTCGGGTCTCCAGCAACTCTGCACATTGGCGTTCAGACCGGAGCGCGGGCAGCTGGATTTTATAAGGCCTATCTATAGTTTACACATTAAGGTTACATACCATAAATCTTCGACTAAATCTTCAAAGATAGGGATGCTTGTCTATTCCGAAGTAATCTTTCGTACAATACTGTGATTGTTCAATCTTCGGAAAAAAATGACATTAAAAATGTTATAAGAACAATATTCAAACCTCGTTGTTGTTCATATGTACAGGTGGTGGACTCGCTGGCAATGATAACGCTGACGGTGGATTTCGGTGATGATGATGATGGTGATGTGTGCCCTGATGGCTAAGGTTATTATGATGATCGCCACTGGGCTCTGGTGGTGCTGCCGTAGAAGCTCGCACCAAACGAAGCTGACGTTGCTTTGCACGCAGTTCCTCAAGCTCAAGTCTTTGTTGTTCGCGAAGTTGGAGCAGTTGCATCCGATGTCTAGATATGATAAAACCGAATTCAAAAACAAACAAAAAAATAAAAACCGTTTCATACTTTTTAATCAATTCCAAAACCTCGGGATCGTCATCGTCGTCATCCTCCGCCTGGAAGAATTTCAAATTTATAGTTCTCCTATATGACAATTTATTTGCAACTTGGCGAACCTAATCTGCTGTATTTATGATCCGCTGTACATTACATTATTTGTATAAAACATGGAATGTTCTCCCAATTACAAACCTCCCGACAAGATTAACGAAATGACCAAATGCAAAAATTCCAACGCAAATATGGCAACCAAAACAACGCAAAAAAACCCGAAATGAGAAACATTCCCCCCAAGCGAACAAAAAATTTAGCATTGGTATCAATACTCTTTCCCAAATTTCAAAGGAATATTCCACCAGTAGTTCGTTTGAGACCAAAAATGAGAACGGAAGAACTAATGATAAATCGCCCGCGTCGTCCCACAAGTTAACATCAATTGACTACTGCATATATTTAAGTATATACACTCTATCTATCAAAATGTAGCGGCTCGAGTTCAGCGCAGCCGCTTCGCCTGGACCCTGGGTCACCTCTGCGGTCTATCTGGTTATTTTCCCACGCCTGCCAGCCTTCAATGGTAGCGGTGTGGGAAAATGGCGACAGACGCGGCGCACGGTCCAAGCGAAGCGGTCTTGGGCTAAACTGTCTATGAGACTGAGACAGGGGCAAAATGGGTAAAAACCCATTGTGCCCAGTCACAAAGTTCCATTCTACAATAATTCCAGTCAAAATGTCCAGAACTAACCAAATTCGAGCAAGCTATGTTTGATAATTAATTATGCTCATAAATCTATTCACATAATCACTTCATATATTATAAAGTTAGTATGGCTAAGCAATAAAAACAAAGGAAAAATGGAAACGAGCTAATAGGCACCTGATCAAATTCCGAATCTGATGTTGGCAACGGACTGAACAGCGGTGGAGTACCGACATGAAACAATGCGCTACTACCGCACACACTTGACAAGTCGTCCCGTTGTGTCGACGCGTCGTCGCGAATCACGCTTGGTCGCATACTGGCCGTACCAAGCGTGCACGACAATGCGCTTTCCAGATTTTCGAACGTTGCCAGACTATCTATGCCGCGAAGACGTTGAGACAGGTCTGGTGCAGTGTTCGAAGACAACATTTGGGTAGTTGTGACACCGATAGCATCCAGTGAGGCTGCACCACCTGGGATGATCGACGCGAGGCCTGTCGCTGTCCTCTCCGGTGAAGAGGACTCATCTTCGGATGTGGCGGTCACGGAAGCGGACGGTAGGGAGGACGCAGTGGGCAGCTGGAGGAACAAAACGACTATTCTAGCTACTATAAGCAACATGAATTGGTGAGTGAAGAAATTTAAATCAGAGGTAAATAGATCATAGATTAGCATTTTGACTGTTCCCATGACGTAACACAACAAAGTAGTAAACAAACCCAAACATCACCATTACCCTACAAACAAATCAAAGCATTTCCAATCCCAAAAGTCCCTTGGTTAAAAAAAAGCTGTTATTGCAGCAAAAGAATTAACTGATTAGCAATGATAACATAGGAGGAGACAAAGCAAGTTAGAGCAGGACAATTAAGGGAAGGTAAAAACATGACCCGGACCCATTACGTACAATGGTATGGTTTACAAAGGTATTGCCAACTAGAACACTTACATGATAGAGCTCTTGTGTTGAGTTAGCAAACTGATGGGGTGATATGCGACCGTGCATTTCGCTGCCAGATAACGGTGTTGATTCTTTTTGTTCAGGATTGATCACCTAACAAAAGTAAACAATCATATCAGGAACTCAAATGTGCAAAAGGGATGAAAGGAAAAAAGAGGACGAAAATAAATCACCTTCTGGAGTGCTTGTGCTAGGCCATTGAGAGTGTCAACATGAATATCTTCCGTTCCACTGGTTGTAGTCTGATTAGATAAATGCTCTTCTTCTTCCTAAAAATATTCAAAAATCAACATGAAGAGAATTTTTTTCAGCTAAAGCTTCAGAAAACAGATACAAAGTTACTTTGATATAAAGAAAAGTTAAAATTGCATTTTCAATAATTTTACATTGCAGTACAACAAAAAAACTTATAGGCGTATTCAAACTGTCATAGTGATTTAAACAATTGAAAGATGAACGCACGAAAAAAGGAATTTGTTACAACCAATCTCACACAAGCCGATTCCAAGCGTTAAATACGTGCGAACATAATACGCAAGTTGTGCGCAAAATAACATGGGATCATTTGCATCAATATCATTGCAATATACCCAAGCATTCAGGAAAAAAACTGCAAAAAAAAGAAAACATAAAAAACTACCTTTGGAGGCGGCAGTGCAGGAGGGGGAGGCTGCTGCGCTTGCGGTGGCGCTGGTGGCTGCACTTGCTGCTGTTCTCGCTGCTGCTGAATTTGGCTAAGAACGGCAAGCTTCTCGCTCAGGCCTTAAAAAACAGATTAGTACAATTATGTGATAGTGAGGGCTTTCAATCAAACCTGCAAGATTTGTGGAAAGTTCGCCCGTGTGAGCTGGAGTGTGCGGAAGACTAGTGGTAGGATGAAGTGCAACGTGTGCATTATGGACCTGCAAACGCAGCATCAGACCACGAACGATGCCGCCTATCGGAAACTAACTGGCGAAGGCGAGAAGACCCAACCCTTTATTATACCGTGATGCTCTCTCTTGGTCGCGCAGCTTGTGCAAACCAGTCTTTACACTCACTACGTCATTAGAACGAAAATGATCAAAAGATTCCACATAACGTGAGTGTTCGATGTGAAGATAAAATCTAGAGGCATGTCTCTTGAATTAACAAATGCAGATAAGAAATTTGACGATCAACATACAACGCTTCAAGCACTTCAGAATGACCATGATACTCTGCTCGAGAGTAGAGTTTTCAGAAGCTTAGCTGTGGGTCCACAACAGTTTTCTGCGCGCAAGTCATAGCTTTTGATGTAAAAGTATATCAAGTTTTCGCGCAAATATCGACAAATTTATGTTTCCCTAAAATATACTAGCTTATGCATCACTTTCGCGCAAATTCCTAAAGGGAAAAGTTGACCGATCACAAACGGATTAAACCCGTTATATCGCATCATTTCCGCAGATGTGTCATCATGGTGGCAATGCGCGAAGCTCTTTTGCGACCTGCTTCTGATTCAAAATTCATCACCTTCAATGGATCTATGCCATTACTGGAAGCATAAGCGAAAGAGCGCAAATTACAAGATGTTTTTACTTACAAGGTCTGCGGTTAATTCATACAAGTTGAATGCATGTTGGCTCTACTCTTCTTCAAAATCGAAATCATAACACGCAAAGACGTTGAAAATGATTTACAACGGAGCCAAAAAAATTTTTGGAGGACTCGCTGAAGCTTGAAAGTAGTGCAGCGAAAGATTTCCTTGCAACAAACATAGCCCAGATGTATACTGTTATAACGAGGCTTACCTGAGCACCAGAGTGTAATGTGGTGATTGCAGATTGTGTCATAGCTTCAGGGATTGGAGCATGAGCTGCTGTGGCTCCTGCGGAAACAGTTGATACACCGCTGACAGTCGATACGCCACTCACCTACAAAATGGGGCGATTTACATCAAATGATAATTCAGCGAGTATTATACGTACTTTTCTAAGCTCTGAATCCAACTTCTGCAGTGCCGAAAGATCAAGGTGTGAGTTAGCGACAAGTGGTGGATGGGTGGGAACTACCGATCCCACAGTCACAACCGACGTTACCGCATTAGTTGGTATGGCAGATGCGGGTGTCGGTTCGGGTGGTATCTGTATCACGCTTGCAGACGAAACCACGGGAGCTGTTGGTAGCGAGATTGTGGCGGGTGAAGCTAGTGGTACCGCCATCTGAAGTCATTCGTGTGCATGTGAGGAATGAAGCGTACAGGCTGTCTCGTTGAGAGTGTCACAGCTCCAGAGGGTTCAGGCCTTGCGGCCGTCCTGTTCGGTCTTTGCGCCGCGTTCGCGAATTATCCTCCGAGCATTTTTGAACTCTTCGGCAGCGGTGAAGAGCTAAGGCTTGGGAAATTGACGCGACGCAAGAATCGAGCAAGGCAGCCGCGAAGGCCAAACCCTGGAGATGTGACCCACACAAACTGAGGCAGCCTATATACAGTAAATTAACGTACTGTCATTGAAGCCGCGACATTTGCTGTGATAGGCGGATGCACTGCTAGTGGAGTAGCCGCAGATCCTATGCTTGTTATGCTAGCTTCTGTATGCGTCGAAGTGGAAGATGAAAATCCGGATTCAGCAGACTGTGTGGGCGCTAAGATGACTTGCATTGGAACACTTTGCACCTGGAAAGTGCATATTTATCAAAAAATACACATTACTGGTTTGAGAACTTACCTTGAATCTACTTCCAGTGCTAGCATTGCTCAATACTGACGATGTATTTGAGTGAGCCGTCGTGCTTGGTGATGAGCCAGTGGACACAGCTGGAGCTGGTGGACTGAGCTGTTGAGCATGATTTTCAGCCACTGGTGGATGTGTTTTCGTCTCTACTGGGGGAACATTAGAAACTGCAGGTGGGATAGATGCGACAGCGGACGGAGTAACCTACAACAAAGTCAAAGTACTTATAACACATTCCAGACGATAAGAACAGTTGACTCACTTGGAAACGCGACTTCTTGGTCGTTGCTGTTGTTGTAGTGCCAGCCGCTACCGTAGCCGCGACAGTGGGTGTGGTTACAGTACTCATAACATGGAGCGAAGCTGACTGTGGTACGCCTGTCGTCGGTACGGGTGTTGTGGTGGTAGAGCTTTCTCCGTCGACACTGCGACTTTGTCCCGCCAGCGATTGCAAGGATGGCTAAATTATCGTTGGATAACTGCGTAGAAAAGCATATGACTTGTTTTTGATGCTCTCCTGAGCGGCTGAACAACATATGTGCAATATCGAAGCCGAAACTCGACCATGCGTGAGCAGTAACCCCAGACTTTCACACTATAAAACCAATCAAAGGAGATGTATTGACGTCTGCTGGGAAATTTCGTTCAAACGAGCTTACCTAGAAATTTTTGTGGCATAAGCGATTAAATTATTGCCCCTACATCACTTCTCCGCCTCAGGACTCGGGCATAGCTCGCGTTTTCATCGCCTCGCGAATCTCCCAACAAGACAACTGTTACGAGTTCATTGAATGCCGACCCTCCTGCATTCCGTTTGTGATAGTTTTCCGACACGACTAACCGTGACCGATTTATCCAACCGAAATGCAAGGTGATCGATATGCAATGGACAGTAACAGTTATCTTGTCAGGAAAATCGCAAGGCGATAAAATCGCATGAACTATACCCGAGGCTTTACCGACTTGCATGGTTTTTTTATGTCGTAACAGAAAAACCCTTCAAACTGTATACTAATCCCATCCCTATTTTGGAAAAACTTGGGTAAAAGTTCTGCGATAACGGAAGGACAACATCGCATGTCCGCTCATACTGCGTCATATTAATCACATCAAATCATATCAGTCAGGCACATCGATGACCTGACAAATAATTTTGAATGGAAACTAATTAACACTAGGAAAAAGAATAAAGTTACTATCATAGAATCAATTAGTGGAGAGTAGTCATACCTTTTGTTCACCTCTTGCTGATGGAGGTGACGAAGCTGACATAGGCGCTTCTACAGGAGCTGCATTTGCAATTGGCACCTGAGGCGTTTGCGACTGAACAGCCGCGACCGGCTGTGCAGGAGCTACAGCATTCGGAGCAACTCCCTGAGCAACTAACTGAGCAGCTGCAGGTGGTGCAGGAGAAGCAGCAGCCTAAATACAAACACTCATGGGCTTTAAATTCCATTTCAGAGACTTCCGGTTGAAGAAACTCTATTAACCCTTGCCGTAGGTGGTCCTGAAGAAAGGTTACTTGTGGTGGTAGTTGTCTGAGTTTCTACTACAGTTGTGAGCTTTGTACCAACCACACGAGGATTTCCTTTGTTAACAAGCTGAAAGTAAAAGTTTTAGAACGAAATCGGCCGAAACAAAGAAATAAGATTCAAAAGAGTAACACAAACATCGATTATCTGCTCTAGTTGGTCTTCCACTATGGCAACATGATGTGGGGCAAGACAGTTTTCGGCCAGCTGAAATAATTGAAGGTGATTATTTTGCCTACTGTAATTTAGATTGACGTACAAGTTTTTCGGCAATCACTGAAGGTTTATCTGAATCTGGCGCAAACTGGAACGTTACCGTTTTGTGTGCAGTATCAAGTCTACACGAGACGAGCTGCAAAAGATAATATTCAGAAGACATTCAGAGAAAGAAAAAACATTCGATGACCCACCGCTAGTTGATCTTTAGCATTGTCAACCTTCAACACTTCCAGAGCAATCTTTCGCTTGGCTTTCTTTTTCTCTTCATGTGTAGCAACCTGCCCGTCAGGCATGTCTTCAGACGTAGGCTGCAAGCTCCGGACATAGTGTAAGCACAAAAATGATAAAAAAAAAATCCATGCTCACCACCGGAGTAGCCGCGCTTTGTTTAGCTTTGTCGGTAGCAGTCATCGGCGCCGTTGTTGCCGCCGACTGCACCGAGGATGACGTCGTCTGTGCAGATGCGGCTGTCGGCGGTGATACTGCTGACGATGGTGGAACTGGAGCAGAGAGCGCTTCAACAGCAGCGGCGGCAGCAGCCGTGGCGGCCGCGCTAGCTGCAGCAACTGCGGCAGCCGCAGCAGCTTCCTTCTGAGATAGCTTGCTTGCCTTCTGTAGCCGACAGACACACGACTCACGCTTACCTGCTCGGCTTCTAAGCGTGCCGCGTTCTCCTTCTCCTTGGCTCTTAATTTCATTTCTTCCTTAATCGCTTGTTCTTCACGCTGGCGCTCTTCCTCTTCTTTCTGCCTTTTCAATTCTGCTATTCTGAATTCTCTGTCTCGCTTGAAGCTTTCCACCTACAAAACATTTTCGAGAGGAGAGAGGAGTGGACCCGTAAAACAAAGAAAGCAGTATGTACCTTGTCCTTGATTAGTTTTGTGATCATCCTTGTGTCTACATCAGGAATATGTTGTTGCTCTATCATCTGTGCCACTACCTAAAAGAAACCCTCGTAGCATGAGAGCCCACAACAACAGGTTTCTCATTAAGAAATTATCTTAAATATATTCACATCTTCGGCCGTATCGTTCTCGATGTCAAAGGCGAACTGAAGGCCTTCATTTTCTTTGAAACGATACTGCTTCCGTTTTTTCTCATCATACACCGTCAACTGCATCTGGATCTATAAATTTTGCAGATCAGCCACAGAGCAGATCAAAAAATGATGATCAAATCAATCAAAAAATGACATGTAATAATGATCAAATCCAAATAAAAATTTCTCACCTCAGCATTCAGCTCAGCTAGATCTAAATCTCTGTTTTTGATCTCTACACGAATACCAATGAGCTCCTCTGGAGTAAAGAAGTCGTCAGCTAGTAACTGTTTGACAGTACTCCGCTCTTCACGACGAACCCTAAAAATACCACATGAAAACACGCATCTGATCCTGAATATGTGTAATCTCACCGTATACAACGGTCGATGATTTCACGTATCTCAGGATACTGCTGAGGAATTCTGTTGAAGCACTCCGGCTTCACACCCTAAAAATACCCTCCTCACCATTACCAAGTATGCTATCACAGACAAGCAACCTACCGTAGTAACTTTACGATAGATCTGCGCTGGAAACTGGCACTCCGTATATGGATATTCACCAGTAACCATTTCAAGGAGGCACATTCCAAACGCATACACATCAACTGATTCATCGTACATCTCTTCATACATTTCTGGGGCCATAAACTCCGGTGTTCCTAAACATGTTCCGCTTTTTGTATAACTCGGAGCTTTTCCACGAAATACTATTTTTTCAGACAAAAAATGATCTACATGTGGAGTTTGAAGGAATCACCGTCCACCCAAACACAGTGTATGATCGCCCAACTCCCGCTGCAGAAAATGACGTCAAACGCGACAAAATCGCTCCAGAAGAGAAGCGATGGTGGTCGCTCCACCCATCTGTGATCTTCGAAAGATGCAAGTCCAAGATTGGGCTTGATCGTGTCGAAAGTCTGATAATCGTATCAGACTGCGATTTTCGACAACTCTAGACACATTCGAGCCCAATTCGGAACTTGTACATCAGACCACTCGCGGTGATGGGCGGAGCTACCCCGCCGCTTCCCGCTTCTAGGACGATTTCTCGCGTTTGACTTTACCTTTTGCAGCAGAACTTGGATGTGGTTATTTAGCGAGGGAAAGCTATCACCGTTTCAGAATTTCATCAAACTCAATTTTGCGTTCGGTGGCTTTAATCCGGTTATAAACAAAAAAACTGCTGCCGAACCATAAAGAAAATCATGCAAAAAATTGGAAAAAATAAGGATTAGAAAGCTCATCTATTTCCTTAGCGCAGTATAAACACATTCAAGCATATCTCGAGCTCTATGTGATATTCACGCCCTCACTCATGATCCCTCAGCCCCTTTTCCGTTGTTTCTTTTTTTCGACCAGATACCCTCACAACCATTCAATTCGAAAACCTCTACACACAGCCATTGCTCTCCCATTACCAAGTCAAATTATAAACCCGCTCTCAGTCCCTCCATCACAATGCGAGGATCGTAGCACGAGCGCGATGCGCACATGAGCGTTCTTCTCACGAGTGGCGGCACTACCACGTACACATGTGATCGCCCACTAGGCCCCGCATATGATTGTCTAGCGAAGTTTATCGCTCTATCGTATATACAAAACGCAAAAATCAAAGATGCACCAGATGTGAGATTTCCGTTTATTTTACACTCACATATACACAGAATTTTGCATACGATTTCAACAAAAATGTTTTTGACCACAGTGTTTGCACACACAAACTGTGTTAAGGCGCGAAACACATACTGGACTTTGACTTTATATTTCCAGTCAACTCATCTATAGTAAGAAACACCGAAAACACACAGAGGGATCTGGACTAGGCGTTTAGAGAATTATCTGCAACTGCCGCACTCTGTTTTATTAACGCTAGGATAATTCGTTGCGTCCAGGAATCTCCAGAAACGCAGAAAAAGAAACGACAAAGCTGTCACTTCACATAGATCTAGCTATCTCAAATGACAATGCGTCCAGGTTTGTCGACAGAATTCTGTTCAGAATACAAAAGCAAAGAGATAATCAATCTCCCGACTAAACTGTATATATGTGTTTATATCATTATTACTCCACAGCAACAAAGAGGATCGTTTCGCCTCATCGACTGATCAAAGTGCTCGTTGCGAAAAAAAAGTTGGCTGGCGCAGCTGACTGCTATCGCCAAAAAAACTAATGCACTGATAGCACTACGTAACACAATCATTACGATCCGCTCCGACAAAGCAAAGAAAAATTCTCATCAAATTCGATAGGGCTTCTAGAATGATAAGAAACCACGCGACTACCAAACAAATAAATTTTGATCTGTGTTAGCTGCGGAAGCCAGCTGATGTTACCACAAGCATTTCGACAGCCAAAGCACTTCGCCGATGAGCGATAACGATTGTCAAGACGCAACAAATGGCTTCTGCCAAACTTTTTATGATTTTACGGTCAAGCACAGATTCCAACGAAATCAAAGCGAACGTTTTTGATTAAAAAAAACTAAGCTCACCGATTACGCTCTTCGCATACGATTTGTTCTTCAACGTTGCTAGACCAAGATCACCGATTTTTACACTGCCCGTCGTTCCCGTGATGAAAATATTATCGCACTTCAGATCACGATGAATTACCGGTGGATTTCGGGAATGCAAAAAAGAAAGGCCCTTCAAGATTTGTCTACACCATGATTTCAAAACCTAAAATAAACACGTTTTTATCGAAGCCGAGCAGGTTTCGTTCTGAACAAACAAACCTTGATATTAATTCGCTTGAACCGTTTTAGATACATTTTGAGAGTACCCGATGTCATCAATTCCGTAACTAATACGATGTACCTAGAAAAGAAGTAAATCTTCTTACAAAACACTCCTGCAAAACTCACTTTCTCTTTCCAGATGGATCAGTTCTTTCCCAGTAGTCATAGAATCTCACAATATTTGGGTGCTGTAGATCCTTCAACATCTCCGCTTCTTCTCGAAACCTCTGTCTCTCAGCCTTAACATGCAGCATTACCACTATGACAACCAAGTAGAAACCATTACCTTATTTAGCTTGCTTTCTTGCAGTTCACACCAGGCCACCGCCACTCCAGTTTCGGTGTCTAACCCACGATAAACCGTTTTGAATGATCCTCGACCAAGTTCTTCGTCGAATTTCAGAAAACGGCCGTCTAAAGATAACAAGAACTTACGGAAGTTACAACAGAATTTGCAAAAAACGCCTTACTTGGACTCTTGTCTATGGGCTTTTCTTGCGCATCAAAGTCATCATCAACTTCAAATTGTTCCTTTGCACGCACTTCCTCATCTTTACGCTCTTTCTCCCTTTCTTCCGTGGCTGCAGCTTCGGCCGCCGCTTTAGCTTCTGAAGCCAACTGCTCGGTTGCGGCTGCCGCGATGGCGGCAGCATTCGGCGACGCGACTGCCTTAGCTGCATTTCTGCAAAGAATTCTTTAGAAAATATCCATGTTCGTAAAAGATAGCGGGAAATATAAAACGAAAAACTTAGACAAATAAGTTTGGATGAAGCTTACCGTTAATGAGGTCTTGAACGTCTACTAATCAAAGTTGTAAAACCATATTAAACTGCGAAATTAAAGCAGTAAACCGATTTTAAAACTTAAACATTTGATGAACACAGCCTTTCTGGTGCATGCACAGGCGAAGTTCTCCTACAATAGCAGCCCTTCTACTCATTAGAAAAATCAGAAATTCTTGCGTGAAGGTCCGCTTATCTAGGGAAAAATGCGTATTTCTACTGATCTTGATGGCACGAACAGAATTTCGACGTCATCTCAACTCAAGCTGTGTGCAGTTACTCAAGAAGTTATCAAATAGAGATGACTAAACATTCTTTTGCATTGAGGTTACAGGTTCACTAACACCGGCAACGCATGATTGACTCGTAAGAAAAAAAAAATGGAGTACGTCGAGCACCAACAACTTTGACGACTTTTATGAAACCAAGTTCTCAATTCTGGATATCTTAAATCCATAGCCAAAAGAAAAGGAATATACTCTCACCTGAATCGAAACGCATTCTTACGATGTAACCTCCGCAGAGCACGTTTCCCTCTACGGAAAAGCTTATTGTAAAGCTCCGATAGCAGCATTTCACTGGTACAAAATGTACACAGAGTAAAGCGCTATGAAGACGAATAAATCTCAAATTGGACGAATAGCTAGTTAGTAACGCTGTCTGTCCGTCAACAGAACAGGCTATAGTAATGGTATGCGATGCGGCGTACCGAGTCTCTTTTCAACGAGTACGGTAAGTTGTCAACTATGCATGAATAAAATCAGAGGCGAAAGTTTGTTCGTGCCGGCCACGGGTACGTTCATGTAAAGATCAAATAGAATGAGATCATTTTGTTATCATTGTTTACATAGATGATTGTGATAGTCCCAAAAACTTAAATGTTGCACTCTTGTCAAATATGTTTTCAACAACATCACCCTTTCAAAGTGATGCACCACAAATCTTGTTATATCAACATAATGTGCCTCATAAAAAGAAAAATTCATTGCATTCAATCCATTTTTCTCGTTTATCCAAAAAAGCTTAGTCGCACACTACTTCCCATCTTTTGTGTCAGATTTATTCTCCCACCTCATAATAAAGCTACATTTGGTTCCAACACTGAGGTGACTAATCGGTGCAAGTGTGACAGTCTCCATCCTAAGTTTTGTCCTGTTGCAACAGTGCGAATTAGTCGATTCAATGCAAAAAGGATAAAAAAATCATTGATTACTCCTCTAAACTGACACATTTAAAACAGGGAGCCCAATCCCTTGATTCATTGAAAACTCGTTTTACAAAACTTGCAGTAGGCTACCGAAGGGAAGCATGGCCCCCAGTCATACTGGTCAATAAAGTAATGGCAAACTCGCATCAAAACAATAATTTATTTAGTCACTACATGCTGAGAAATCCTCAGTCTGTCTTGATGAAGCGAATGTGAACATTTTGTATGCATTTCTATCACAAATCATTCAATGATGTTGTCATGAAATGATTGGTGATAGAAAAGTAAATTTCAAAAAAAAAATAGCGAAGCCCGTACTTCGCTCCTTTTTCCCGAATTTTACATTTTTATCACAAATCAATTCATGACAACATCATGAAAACTGACATCTCGACCGCAATCAATAGAATGATAGGAAATGAACGCCACGTCATACGTCATTGCATACCACGTGCGCCTCATGCTTCCCCGACTGTTGCGAGGCAAAGTAATCCGCATTAACTCAACACAATGCATAACATGCCCGAGCCGCGCCATCGCATCCTATAAAACCGCTCGCAAGGCAATGCATGCAGCCTCAGAGCGTTTGCTCGCACATTCTCATAAAAATTTTAGCGCAATACTAATTCATAGCAATATAACAGATTAATACTGAATTGACTGACCTTACCAAGGTAAAAGATAGTAATATACTGCTCACGCGTTTCGGCTTCGCCTTCGCCTTATAATTACCACAAGGGCGCTACAGCCAAAACCCGTGAGCTGTTATTTTTACTAATTTTCACTTTGATAAGCTCAATCAGTTGAATAATTGCATTTATTAACATGCCAAGGTTATTGAATGGTCGGATTTGAACAACAATATAAATATTTGATGGAAGGTATCTAAGTTAATTGAATAAATAAAAAAAGAAAATAGATATAAACCCAAAACCTTCAACCAACCTCGTTCGATCGAAAATACTCGTCTGTGCAGTTACGGGAACTAATGCATTATTAGGGGCAGCAACAAGCGTATCATCGGCATCCTTCGCGGCTGGAGTCGCTTTATTATCTGGCGTTTGTTGCTGCTGTTGTTCTCGATGACGAGCTCGAATCCATGGCTGGAAATATAGAATTCGGAAAAGATACAAGAGGATCAACAAGCAAAAATTATTTCCAGCATTTTAGATTCAGGAAACCAAAACATTTCAGCCTCCCTGTGAACAGAAGAAATCATAGCGAAGCAAAATGGTTAAGATAAGCTTTGTTTAGCTTCACTAAACTGTTTAGACTGCCAATTATTCTCTACTCAGATTATTAGGGTGAAGCTAATTCTAAACAAAACGGCCAGCACGTTGTATACACAGTTAACCCAGATTAATTTTGTTCCAAAAGTCACTCACTATTTTAGAACCATATTTTTTCTTCTGGAAAAACCTGAGAAATATTATGAAAGGGAAAATGAGCCGTGCAGCTCTGACAAAATGTCAAATGAAAAACTCACTCGATTTGTCGCGTTCGCGTTGTACGGGCGACTGAGGCGCCAATCGCGCTGAACGGCCTCTAGCCGAGATCGCTCTTCACCGGATAGCCAGTTCGTACCGATTCTGAACATTATTGATTGATTGTCTCGAAAATCTTACTAACGAGATGCAAATTGCAAAAATCCCAAGAAAACGGGATTTAATATCCATTTATCTTTCCTGTTCTTTTGTAGACAAACACGCATAAAAGACAGAACAGGATGACAGATAAAAAAGGTAGAAACAAGCGCGGCATTAATGGACATAAAAAAATGCTTCTCAACAGTTACTTTCATCAAAGCCAAAAAGATATCGATTGCTTTCTCTCCATCATCAGCAACAAATACCGATAAAACCGGTTTTTGCAACGAAAAAATGCTTAATCCCTGTTCCTATTCGAATGCAATTCAGATAAGCCCATATATGTCAACTTATACCTAAGCAATGCCATAAGCACCGGATTTAATCAGCAGAATGATTGTTGCCTCTTACAATCATAGAGTTCGAATAGAACAGTAAAGTATAAAATCTATATCATCGTTCGATACTTTGCATCACATGCCGAAAAAAGGTGAGCGCGTGACAGACGCCGCAAATAAGAGGAATAAGTCTACCTTCAACTACCATGTGACAGTTTAATACGCAAACAATACAGTGCACGATAAGCTTCTCCAAGGACAGATAGAGCTTTCGTAAACGATCTTTGCAGGGGGAAAGCATTATCACTTTGAATATTTCATGAACGTGCAATGTTTCGTGGAAAATTCTAGGAAGGCCCGAAAACACTGCAAATCAATGTCTTTGTTTAGAGATATATCAATCTTTCTAGAACTATAAAGTATACATGAGATTATCACAAAAAAGCGGAAAAAAATATTGCAGTGTCAGCAGAAACACTTGACTTACAGTTCACTCTCTACAGTGATAACAATCTTCTTGACGAAAGGTAGAGTCATAAAAAGAAAACTGATCGTTTCTGAGAAAAAATCCTTCATTCCAGCGGCAAATCTATACCCAAGATCAAACCAAATTTAGCAATACATTATATATAAATTATATATAAAAAGAAGTAGGTGATGTCTTGAAAGATGTAATCAATGAAAGACAAATAACCATATCGAACGCAATGCGTAACGGTCGCTGCTTCCAAAAATCGAAAATAAAAACATTTGGCCTTGAAGGTCGAACAAACTGCTATCGAAAGCGAAGCGATCATGAACAAGACAGAATTGAGTGGATCACTTGAAAGAGTGGAGGACATTTCCCACTTTCAAAGCTACAAACGATGAGCTCAAGAGGAAGTATCGCAAAATGTCAGGAGCACACGCGGAAACGCCGATAAGCCGTTTTGATAACGTAGCTGCAAATAGATTGTAAGCTACCGTTTGGCGCAAATGCTTCAAAAACAAAATCGTTGCTTGATCCCTAAAGAGACGGAAAAATGCTCTTGAATATTCAGTAGTAATTTCAGAATTTTGTGACACAAGAAAAACCAACTTCGGTGATCAATGATCCAAATTGTCATGAGTAAAATGTACAAAGAAAATATTCTGAGTATTTGGACATTCCACTAGAGTACAGATTAGATTCCATTGGAACCGGCATGGAAGAGAAAGTGCACACACTGACAGCAGGCAACATTTACACTACCCACCGGTGTCTGAATCCAAGTGGCAACATCGCGTCGCAGAAAGAAATATTAAATACCACTTCGTAATAAATTCCCAATACAAATTAGAAATCGTGGTCGAAAACTACACTGTACAATAGACAACCTTCCATTATTACTGTAAGAATAATAGATGTGCTAGAAGGTCGAATCGCACCGCTGCTGCAGAGATCGGCTTTTGATGTTGATGAGTGGCTTCAAACACGTAGTTTGAGATGACCTTTACTTTGCAGACTCTCCGATCACACAGGCAACGATGTAGTTGGGGGAATATGTTCGCTAAGTGTAGCGAATAGGCGAGAAATGAATGTCCCCAACCGTACCGTGTTTGACTTCATCCGCTCAATTCGCAATTCAAATCGGGTATTAGAGACGAATAAGCATGCGGGCATGCGGTATCGAACAGCGCTCGCGCATTAAAATACTCATTCAATGAAGATCGCCCAATGTTTTTACCGCGTAATGTTCGGGGGAGATTTCATCGCCAATGTAGAGTGCACACCGGCTATAGCAGATAGGAGAATGCGTGGGAAGATGTGCGCCGTGCAAAATCTACCCAGTTTTTCTTCCAGCGTTATAGCTGCATCATCACCGAAAATGAAAATCCACAACATAAAGTTTGAACATCCATAAAGTTACTATACACTGTATATGTTACTGGAAGCTCAAAGCTTACCAGATTATTACAACACTCATCCGTACTAACGCATGAAAAATCAACATTAGCAAGTTTTGCTCAATAAATCTGCTGTAAGTGACAACAAGCTGTCAACTCTGTGATTTAATTTGCGTACTGCACACCATGCGCGCTACTTCACGAATTGTAAGAACAAAATCCATAAAGTCACCATATACTTGCCCATTTTTCAGTGATTTCTTCCTATTTGACTCTTTGATTAAATTGAATAAGTATTAAACAGTAGCACACACTTCCACAGTTTTTACAAGCTAGAAAAGAGTGTTACAAACTGATTTCTAATAAGATGTCGCCGGAGGCGAGCATAGTGTGCAAACTCACATATTGAGTTGCAAATGTGAGGGTATGTAGAATTTGGAATAAGGTAGGCGCCAGACTTATCCGGTTCAGTCGGTTCATGCCCTTCACTCTCTCGCTATTTGTCAAATCACTGAGTTGACCAATAGCGAACGGGTGAACCAGGACGAACCGGTGGAACCGGATACGTTTGTCTTTCACAGGAATGTCGCTTTAAGCGTTTTGCCAAAAAGAAATTTCTAAAAGAGAAAAGGTGCACATTCCAGTATCAAATACACACCCCACTACGCCTGAACTCCGCAAAAGCTGAAACAGACACCGGAAAGGCAAAAAACAACTGATTCCGCGCAAAAAAACAAGTTTCATCAAAAATTCGGAAATTTCCAAATAATTCGCCAGCCTAATTACCCTATATTACACCGCATAAAAATTATCCCCTTTGCTAGTTGAAATCGCCCAGGACATTTTACGATCTCGTCAACCGCCTTGAGTCCCCTCATGATCGCAAGACGATTGCCGCAAAGCTGCTGCTTTCAATGTTTCCCCATCTTTTTTTGACTGCTAATCACATGCAAGGGAGCCAACGCACTTTCAAGACGCTCAGCAGCAGGAACTTATCAAGTGGAGGGCGGGGATAGAGCAGCACATCTACTTTGCCCCTTTGAGGATAAAGTGAAAAGAAATCAGGGTTTTCTCACGGCAAAAGTAATTAGGTACTGGAGCACAAAGACTCATGAATATACATGTTGCGAAAAAGATTAGGTTAATCAAATTGCAAACCTTTTTGTCTGAAACATTAAGAGTGCATTTTCGATAATCAGATGAAGCCGGGTAACACTCTTTGACCGGAAGGCCTCAATCAACCAAGCTCCTCGCAATTTCAAAGTATTATAATCTCCATAACTTGGTACAAAAATGGGTTTTGACCAGCCAAAAAGAAATAAAAGCCCCCCTACGAGTGAGCTTGACTTTCCACTCGTCGAAACTCAATTATGAATCAACTAATGAAACAAAACTTTGAAGAGGAGGACTATGCACCACACTTGCCCGCTTTCAAAGTGCAAACAAGTGCAAAGGGGTGCTGATTGCAGCATTTAGGTCAAAGAGTGTCACCTAGAATTCATTTGATTAGCGAAGGTGCACTCGAAATGTTTCAGATGAATAGAAAGTTGCAAAATTCTGCAATAAAACAAGTCCTTCTCATACTATAAATAGAAGAAATCTACTCTACATGAAAATAAAATGATTCAAAGCGCTTGTTCGTTTGCACAACTCCTCTTCTCTTTGAAAGCTATTCAACTATGAAATTTGAAGCTTATTACCGTGATTCTTTTCGTTTTCCAATTCGTCAGAATAATGAATGCACAGGCAACATGTGCCATCTCTACACTCCGTATTTGACAGCTTAGAACAACGAACTGAACAAGATAAACGAAAAATGTGACATCAACTCCTTAATGGGAATTTCCAAATGTCACAGACACCACGATAGCTTGATTTCTGAAGGTAGCGAAGATTGCGAAACGTACTTGCAAAAAAATCTGATAGTCAGATAGCGCTGGCTCACATGCTGTTTGATGCCTTCCGCTTTTCAATACGTAATGATAAAAAGAAAATTAAAAAGAGCATGTGATATCGCAATGCTTACAAAGTAAACTGACTCTTCGAAAAAAAAAAAGAAGACTTGAAGCAGGATCCATCAAGGAGCTTGAAGATATGGAGATCTTACTGAGGGGAACTCCTTTTTGGTTTTGGCATATCAGTGAAATTTATAAGGCAGTCATTTCCGGGAAGCAGGAAAAAAATTTAACGATGTATGATTACAGCTGTCATCGTTGGGAAATAATAAGTTACAGAAAAAACACACACAATGCCCCAATACCAGCCGCATTGACTGATATAACAATGGCTAGAACAACTACCGACGGGCAAACAGCTACACGAATCAGAAAAAAAGTTTGTATGCTAAGACAAGGCGGGTTTCAGGGTGCTAATTTTTTTTTAATTCGCAGGTTCTAGTTGCAAGACACATCCATTCAAGAGAGAAATAATCGCGTGCTGTGGTTTTTTGCAGCTTCAGTACTGGCGAGGTTGAGCGATTATAGTACCTATCATCTATTCTGCAATTAGAATACTCGAAAACTTGAGCGCGTTTAATTTACAAGTTCATACTTGTGGTTGAAAGCGTTTTGGATAATTCACCACTTGAAATTCCTGAAAAAAAGATGTCCGAGCTTGTTAGACAATACATGCAGCAGCGTTCTCGAGTATCCTAATCTCGGAATAGACGATATCCAGCTAGTGAAGTATATCGTAGATAAAAAGAAGTCCAGACAAAAGAAAAAGTACAGTGAAAATGGAAAATTCCAAGTGGTTCTCAAATGCAAAGTTCTTTCCCATTAACGTCAGCATTTTTCGTGCAGCAAGATGTATGTGAAAGACTAGTCCATTAAGAAAATATATAACTGCCTGAATGTAACTTATGTGATTTCTTTTATGAATAAACCACACAGTATTATGATTAACAAGTTTAGCGATAATGATATCTAGTCAGTTGAATAAAATGCATATGAAGTCATGAAGGGCCTTTATGAAATTGATGCTTGCGTATTCAAAGTTTTTTGCAGCTAGACGACTACCAAATTCAGCGATTATAGTATTTATCATTAATTCTGGGATTAGACCACTCGAGAAGGTTTCGCAACATTACTAACTTGTCAAAACTTGTGGTCTATCTCGTTCAGCATCTGGAAAGAGAAAGAACACGTTTGAATTTGTTAATTGCACGTGTGCAAAGCGCTCCCAAGACTGGTCTCATAGTGAATGGTAATATGTATGGTGATGTTACAAGAAAATGAAATATTATAAAGTGCATAATAATAAAACAGAATATCTGAAAATGATAGAATATATAGTGTGAGTGAAGTATAAAGTGTTGTATAATGAAGCTCTAAACGGCGACAAAATTTCAAAAGAAGAAAAAGGAGAGATTTCAAGCGGCTCACAAGCGCAAAAATCTTTCCCATTAACATCAACATTTCCCTGTATCCGCAAACTATATGCAAAATCTGTGCATTCATAAAATCTACAATTACATGACCATTATATGATTCCGCAGTATTATGGAAGGCAGCTTTAGTCATAATATCTAGCCAGTAGAAGCATAATGAAGTCTTGAGAAACGAAAAAATTCCTTGAGAAAAGAAAAAAACGAAATTTCAAGTATCTCACGACCGGAAAAACTTTTTTATGAGTATATCGCACTTACCCAGTAGTTGGTTCGACGGCTGGATGTAACTCGTCGACCTTTTTCATAGCACGCCGTCGACCATCGGCTCGTCTTGGTTTCTCCGGTGGCGGTGGAGGTGGCGGTGCCGGTGGCACCTTACCATTTTGTACAACTTCTGGCATGGCGCTGCTTAGATAAATGACGAGGCGATTTTGTCCTCGTTCGGATGGTTGATGGTGAGGAACAGATGGAAGAAATGGCTGCACGGTTGCGGACTTCACAGTTTTTGGCACGATAGACGAACTATCATGCCGTGTAACGCCTAGAGTCACACATTCAACACTTGTACGCGGATGATGTGCGATGGCGATGGTGTATGGTAATAGTTGAGATGATGACGATGATGATGATGAGGAATATGAGGACAGGAAGGCAGCGACAGGAGAGCGCACAGCACACTCGGCCGAACTGGACTCACGAGGAGAAGAGGATGAACACGAACGCTACTTGCCGAGTCTTTATCGCTCTTCGGGTCGATTCTAGTCGTAAATACAAACAATAAGAATATGATCGGGGATAGCGTCTATCCCAAATCGAACGTCAGCAGCGACGAGGGTTGCCCTGACGAGGAGAGGAGAATGTAAGTTGGTCGCGAGATAGCGCAGTTGACTGGGCGCCAGCCCGGCGTCTGCGTCTCTGCCGGCGGAGTGTGTCTGCCGCCTCCACAGCCACCGGCGCTCTCTCGCGCAGCTCTGCCGCCTGCGCCCTCACCGACTAGATCAATGCGGGCGCTTTTTTTTCGTTTCTAGCCCACATTTCTATGATTGGGCCGGTGAATGGGCTTCGCGCTGAGGTAGGTACGGCTGCGATACGTCCACATCTATCCCCCATACCCAAATTCTGCACTTTTCTCCGATAAAGTGCGCCCAACTATCCGATGCTCTCAAACTGTGCTAAAAACCATTGAAAATCCATTAATGTACAATTTAGGACAACGCTACTGTGTCTATTTGCGTTTTAACTCCAGCACAGTTCCACGATACTGTGGTGTCACGTTTTTTTTCAAAGGACGAGCGCGGCGAGCGCGCGGCGCTGTCGTGCTCACGTCATCCATGGCGCGCGTTTTTCAGCCAGCGCCAGCTCTCAGCGCTCAGCCGCAAGGCGCCGGAGCTGCGCTGTCCACTTCATCAAATGCGACAGTTTTTCGTTGCATGATAATGGAACGATTCTGCAAAAGTTCATTTCACTTTTTGAAGGAACCAATCGGTGTCTTTCAGGCTCTTCACAGGGCTTTTTTCGAGTATTTGGTCCGAGTTACGAAATCACCTCGCGAAAATTCCGGAGAGTTGCCTTCATCTTTTGGGAGGTGGGAGGCAACATTTTTTGAATCTTCTCTCACCAGTTTTTAAGCACATGACATACTCGATCACTTGATCCCATGATCCACTTCATCCGTTTGGAAATTGGTCTTTACCAATTTGACCAATAGCGAAACGGATCAAGTGGATCAAGTATGGCTCGCGCCTAAGGAGAGATAGCTTCATCATTCTCTGTTTTTCTTTGTCCACAAAAACTTTGTGATTACTTACTAGTTGTTCTTACTTAAAAATTAGTCTAGCCTTTTTTTATTCAGTAAACGAGGGTTGTGCATTTACGGACCTGAGTGCAAGACTCTACCCACAACAAGTCAAACAAGTTAAAACTTGTGTTCCGCTTCAGTATGGGTGTTTTTTACTTGAAATGCTGTAAAGAACAAGTTTGAACTTGTTAGACATCACACGCACAGCTTTCTAAAGTCTCCTAGTCGTAAAATGGATGATGCATCAATCAGCTCCAGCTAAAGAAAAGTGCACCCATTCCTTTCTCGTCTTTTGAGTTATTATCTCTGCTTCCTTGGAAATCCCCTTGACAACACACAAATCGCTTTGATTTTTGATTTTGAGTCCTTTGCAAATTGCTGGCTTGCGCATTTCCATGGAGAAATTCGAAGGAAAGCAGGAAGCGTGGGTTGACGGAAAGCGCCATGCCGGCAGTCCTAAGACAGCACTCTTTAGACAGATAGCAAATTGCATGCAAAAGAAAAAAACTTCTTGGAAATAATGGCGAAAAATTGCGCGTGATTGCTGCAGAAAGGGGGGAGGGAATAAAAACTAGATTTCATGCTGAATTGAAGAATAAAAATTGAAAATCAGTGTAGGGTTCGCATTTAAACCCTAGAAAACTTTATTGGATTCTAAACTAGTTGCATGATTTCGGAAATGTGTCACAGAAACTCGACGGCTTGAATACGATTTCATTTTGCGACTTCCGAGACCCTCCCTACCTATGGGTGCACAAATTCCCACTGCCGATGGTTTTGCGAAAAATCATCGAAAATCTAGTCACGAAAATGTGCTTTTTGTTATACATGCGAACTGGAATGGATTCAGTAAAAGAAAACCTTTCTAGTCCTGGAGAAGACTTACAGAGATCCAGTATACTTGAGAAATCCGCCGGAAATGGTTTTATAGTGGAGAAAGAACATATGTGAGGGAATTTCCGGAGTTTGCAAATACAGATTTTCTGCACACGTAGCCAAAATGGCACAAAAGTTGTGCAACTGCACATACCCTTTGATTCAACTGGCTTGGCGGCTGGAAGGCGGGGCTTCGTGACCTAATTAAGGCTAGGTAATGGTCAGAGAGCACGGGCGCGGGAGAGACGCAGATTGCGTGCGGGCGCGAGCGGCCTTAATTAGATCACAAAGCCCCGCCTTACGGCCTCCAAGCCAGTTGAATCAAGAGTTATGTGATATGACCAAACTGTAAACCATGCGCTTCGCGAAATGGCACAGAATGAGGACGATTCCGGCCAGCTGGAGGCAAATGTCTACGAAGAAAGCGTTGATGGTAGCCAGAAAAGAAATTGGGGGGGGGGGGGAAGTTGGCAAACAATGAGGGCGTTTCGAGTAGTCCAAAAACAGATTGATAGCAGTTGCGCTTAGGTAACCCCTCTCCATATCATGACAATGAAAAACCCCGATGACCCTCCTTGTCCATCGATACTTTTTAGAGCTTTTATCATCCACTTCTTTCCTCTGCCTAAGACCATCTGTGCCAACGTGACATCTATAGACAAATCGCGGACGACGACGCAGTACAGTATGAGGTAAGCGCGCGCGAACGCGGTGCGCGAGCGGTTATCGATCTCTAGCGTCTGCATTCCATGCGTCTCAGCGATAATAGCTCCTGCTTCCGCCGCGTTTGCACTCGCTTTGCGAGGATAATGTTCCTTCATTTAAGACTATCTCTTATATAAGTCATTAAACTGATAAAAAAAGTTGGAAACCGGGGGTCAAAGCCTATAGAAAGCAGCTATCATAAAAACGGTTCAAGTTGGTACACATCCTCCTCCCTATCAAGACCACCAGTACTTTTTTATTCGCCAAAGTGGGCTCTCATATGAATACATTATCGATGAAACGTCAGCAAGCGCTACATATATGGAACAGCGTTATACCAAACACGCTCTACGATAGTATAGAGGAAAAGGCTTGTGAAGGAAGCCGCTGGTGATAGAAATCTAGGGGAAACTGCTTGAGTGGAGTGCAAATATGATTTTGAGTTTTCTTTTGCTTGGAGATTTGTCGAGGAAATGAAGCTTTAGAAGTTCAAATGAGATAGAGGGGTAGCCCATATAGAACACTATGACGAGCTACGAAGACCAAAAAGAATCTCAAATGGGTCAGAGTTAACGAAGATCCCCGCTTTGTCATTACTATCAACAATTCTCGTGATAGTTTGGAAAATCAAAGATAAACTGGTTTCCAAAGTGAAAAGCCTGAGCTATACTGCTCAGCGAGCATAGTTACAGTCTGTGTCAAGGCAAGACGCCCATCACACGCGCGCGAACGTAGTGCAGCGGCCGCGCGCGCGTAAGTCCACGGCAGCAGAAAAAAAGAGCGTTTTAACAAAGACAGTCCTAATAATTTGTCTTCACTATACAAGTTCATCTAAGCTGCAGAATTACTGGGCAATGTTTGATATGGTAGAGGGATCCAAGAAAAATTACATTATTGTGTAATTGCAGAATATTCGATGATTAAAAATCTCCACAGTTACTACTTTAACCGCCGTTTTTTTGCCACATTACGTCGCTACTTATTTCAGCGGAACTAATGCTCCTGTCGATGAGTAATGCTCAAAAAACTATCATACATTATGTATTTCCGATTTCTTAGCGCCTATACAGTCTAGTAAGACACGTTACGAAACATCGTGTATACATAACTTAGGCAATGATTCATGCTCGAAAAAAAAAACTGAATGTGGCAAACAGTTACATTCGGGGGGCAAGAACTTGTTCTTGGCGCCAGCCGAATTTATTGGTAGTAGTTTTGTTCTTTTTCCACATAGGACTCGCAGTTCTAGACAGAATATCGTAGACAACACATGCGTCTAGCGACTTTGACAAATCACGTCGTACTTATCTCGCACAGTAGTGCCGTTTTGTTGTACAGGCGGTACGGTAGGAGTACGGTAGGCGAGCCGAAATCAATTTTTCATCGCTTTTTTGGAGATTACCTAGGAATATTAATAGCAGTTTTGACGATAATTCACCCAAGAGGCATCTTATCTTGTCGGTACAGTAATGCTACAAGCGCCTATACTCACTTCCCAGGAAGTCGTGGGTTATGGTTAGTATACGGTACATGGGCTACACGTGGATATCTTCAGAAGAGTTTCTAGATAATTTATTGTCTCCGCGTGACAGTGGCTGACCAAGGAAGAATCTTTCTTTGCAGGGTACTGTAGTCGTCGTTGGAATATCTACGTATAGGCGAGTCATCGCACGCAGGGACTGGACGTCGCCACGGACTGAGATAGCTCGCGCTTAGGAGAGAGAGAGAATGCGCGTGACAGGAGGGACCCGACAGCATACGCAATTGCGGCCTGTCGCTGCGAGCAACGAATTGCCCATTCTTTTCCAGAAAAGCCTTGTCGGGCGAGAGGGTTACCGTAATCTTGAACATCAAAGGACTCCAAATTTTCAAGCAAATTCATAAATCCGAAACTCTGCGAATTCTGTTAGATAGCGATTTTTATGCAAATAAACAATTTTGCCGTGGTCGCAGCGGTATAACATGCCCCTCCCCCGACCAATTCGAGTTTCAAAATAGTCCCGATTTGTAGTTTTTTTTTCATGTAGCATTCCAGGTCCAAATACTGTTCTTAGCAAGCACAATTTCACTTTCTCAGTTATGCTCTGAGTGAACTAATCAAACGAGTTCGAGTTCAAAACCTAACGCTAAATATATGCATTTGCATGACTAGAAAGCAATTTTCACGTAATACGAACTAGTCCGCTGTGTGTCTGGTTATACCAGGTCGTTAACCTGCTCACTTGATTTTCTCAGCCATTTCTCTTTGCATGATCTCTCATAGAACCATCAATTTGTTTTTTTCCTGCCGGAAGATCTTGAGTAGAAACGACATCGGTCGGCATGAGATCATTGGAAACAACATGAAATAAATTGCTCACGTCAATCACTTGGACTTGAGATCGTGGGTCAAGTTATACGTCAGTGAAAGTTGTTTATCTGTGTTCTGCAATGCGTTGTGCATACAAATAAAGGCAAAAATCAAGGAAAAAATCATCTTAGGCTTCGAATAATTGTTTTGCGATAGATTT